AACTTGTGGTCCACCTGGATTCCTAGATCCCTTTCACACGTAGTCATAGTATCTGTTTTGTTACCTCCAGTTTTTAAAGACCAAGCTCTAAGACTGGAAATAATGCCAGATAGGGACAAAATTCTCGGGCAGGACAAGCGGGCAGTTAAACAGCTGAGACCTTGGGCTGCAGATGGCCACCAATGCTGTTTTTGTGGCCCTCTCTCCCTCCAGATTTCCCCGAATGCCATTTTTCTGGCCAAAACAAAGGGGATTAGTTGCTTCTTCTGGAAGTCTCTAGTAACAGCAATTCATTTTTTAAACAGTTATCAGGGCCCCACTGCTTGATTTAACATAAAAATATATCTGGTTTTCAAGTGGAGTTCTGGTCACATCTGGATTTTGGGGTTTTCTCTATTTTTGGTAGTCTGTGCCTCCCTTGGAAGGTCCCAAGGGCCTTCAGATTTCAACAGTTGCCCACTCCTCAGCTAAGCAAACCATTTACACCTCTCACTTCTCTCTTGAAAATACATCCCCACAACACATAGTTCAGCAAATGTGGGGTGTGTATGCTGAATTATGTGTTGTCCCATAGTGTATCCACACTGCACACCTACAGCACCTTGATGCCTCTTTAATTGCCCTGGTTTCATCTCAGGGAGTCATGTGATTTGTGATTCTGTAACTTAGAATTCTCTGCGAAAGAGTTCGAGTGCTGTAGTTCATTGGAATGCACTAGCCTAATGTTTCTTATGCCATCTGATCTGAAGGACAAGCAGGGCTTTAAACTCTTGTATTAGAATCATACAAGCAATTGTATTCCCCATTACTATGTATGGATGCGAGAGCTGGACAGTTAAGAAAATGGACAAAAAGAGAATAAATTCATTTGAGATGTGGTGCTGGAGAAGAGTGCTGAGGATACCGTGGACAGCACAAAGAACAAATAAATGGGTCCTAGAACAGATGAGGCTGGCTTACTTTGGCCACATAATGAGAAGGCATGACTCATTAGAAAAGACAATAATATTAGGAAAGGTGGAGGGAAGTAGAAAGAGAGGAAGACCACATGCTAGATGGATGGCCTCAATAGGAGGTCGTCACAAGCATGAAACTGTAAGAACTTAAAGGAATAGTGGAGGATAGGGAGTATTAGAGATGTCCCATCCACAGGGTCACCATGAATCGACTTGAGGGTGGTTAACAGCAACAACAACAAATACCAGGAACCAGGATTACATTTGTGCCCATTTGCTATAGCTGTTTCCTTCTTTCCTGAAAACTCTCCACAGACTGGCAGCCAATGGTGTATTGTTTGGCATTACTTGCTAAGACCACCACTTTGAGTAGCACTGTGCAAGAGCATTCTATACATCACCAAACTAAAGATCTCTGCATTACACAACATGGAACCATGGCAGTTCAAGTGAAATCCAAGTGCTATAATTGCAAAATGTGGATACACCCCTAGACTTTGGATAGGCTGGCCAGAGCTAATGAGAAAATGATGTATCTATTAACAGCTAGTTTAATATATTGGAATTCCACAAGCTTGGTACTCACTCTCCCTTCACACAGCCGTTCTCATATGCTGCCCTCCATATGTGACCCTGTAGCTGTTTCAAAGCTGTGTTCTTTCTGTCTAAAGACATCTGCCAACAGACATTGTCTACAACAGCCTGGATAACACGTTCAATCTCTTCTTCCCCATCTCTGGTTTCCATTGGGATGGGCACGACACCATCCAAGTGAGAATCTTCTTCAGCCTTAGGAAATTTAAGATGAGAGAGAAAAAGTGAACATGTCAATAACAATGGGAAATCATAATGAAACTTAGGGATGGGTGAGAATTTCATTTCACTTTATCACTGGTAAGAATTTACCCAAATCCACAAATTTCTTCAGAAACTGAATGTAAATAAGTTCAGATGTGAAACGTGAATGTGAGAGAAATCAAAACTAATAGATGTGCCCATGATGCCTGGGAGTTCTGGAAGTTGTAATCCAAAAAATAACTTTTCTAATCTATGAAGTTTGGCAACCTTTGTTATATCAAGGGCCACATTTTTGCTAGGTTAATCTGTCACTGATCCATTCTGCTAATGAGAAGAGCTGAAACTAGCAATGGATGGAGCCAAAGCTAAATAGGTGAGAGTCCATCATCCCCACCTCCACCCCTTTCTTTCCTACCAGGGAAGAGAAAGAACAGTCCTGCAAAGTCCTGGGCTGATCACATGCACAGGGATTTCAAAATTAGGCTAAGGGGCTTATGTGATCAAACTGTGAGCCACAGGTTGCCCAGCTGGTCAATGTCAATATACAGATAGACAGCATGGTGTAGTGGTTTTTGAGTGCTGGACTCTAGAAGACCAATGCTCAAATCCCCACAGAGCCATGGGAAACCACCAGATATTCATGGGCAAATCACATTCTGTTAGCCTTGGACGAAAGCAATGGGCAACTTCCATTAAATAAATATAGCCATGATAACCCTATGATATGGTCACCGTAAGTTGGAGTCAACTTGAAGATGTAGAACAATGTCAATAATGACCAGATTATGAAACAGATGACTAGAAAAGGAAAAAATAAATAAAAAGTGTCACCTGTTTTCTCAGAAGGCCAACATCTTCTTGGCATTCTTCTTCCTCCCAGTGTGTTCGGAGGTAATCATGAATGTTGTCTTTGATGTAGGGAAACAAAGTCTCCTGGTGACACACAAAAGACATCACAAATTAATGCTGCTTGATAGTTTCCCACCCCTACAGCCATTGAGGAATGGACCTTCATGGGGAAAAGGTGGATACTGAGAAGAGGCTTGAAGGGAGAAAGAGAAGCGGCAACACCACAAAAGGTGTTCTGGGGGCAAAACATGCAGAGCTTGTTAAGAGAACAAGAGGCTTAGGCCTATAAATTGGTGATGTAGTATTAGGCTAAAAAAAGAAAATGTCCCGTTAAAATCCAATTGGTATCTAATCCAGTATCTTAAAACTATGTCACACATTTGCATCCCTGATACATTATTTTTTATTGATTTCTTACATTTATATCCCACTTTTCTTCCAATGTGCTTACAGAGACGCATGACTTTACTTCTCCCAACTTCGTCTTCATAACAGACCAGTGAACTATGCCAGATCAAAAGGAAATGATTGTCCCATGGTCACCTAGGCTGCATCTGCACTGCAGAAATGATCCAGTTTCACACCACTTTAACTGCCATAGCTCAGTGCTATGGAATTTGTACTTTGTTTTGCCAGAGAAGGCTAAATGGCTTCTGACAGAGAAGGCTAAATGTCTTACAAAACTACAGCTCCCAGAATTCCATAGCACTGAACCATGGCAATCAAACTCATGCCAAACTGCATTATTTCTGCAGTGTGGGCACAGCCCTAGTGAGTTTCATGGGGCAGTGGGGACACAAATCTGGGTATGCCAACTACCGGTCCAATGCTATGACCACTCTACCATGCTAGCTTTCTGCACCAATTTCTGGTATTACCAATAAAAGCAATGTGCTTTCAAGGTGCCAAGGTTATGATTCTTCCAATTTAAGTGCCCACCCTTCAACTAATTGCATAACTGAACCCAGAGTTAATGAAGAGTGGTTGTCTAAGTTGCCATTATTGAGTACCAGAGAAGGTGCCAATACAAAGGGCATCTATATTAAACACAGCCCAGTTACACAGAGAACAAAAAGGGTTGTCACACCTGACACTTCTGTTCTGGTCCCAGAACAATGGACTTGCTAAACGACAAGTGACAGTAAGTAATGAAGTTCAAGCTTGGCTGCTCATCCTTTCTTAAAAATCAATTTGTAAGGAAAAATTATTGTAAAAAAAAGAGGATCCTGGTCATTTTAAAATTATAAGGTCACATAAGAAACTTCTCTCCCTCTGAGCAAGTTTCATAGAAATGACCTTTTTTCCTTGCTAAACTCCTCTTAAAGCCCGTTCACACACTACCTAGGATGTATCCACCCTGCAGAGATAAAGCGGTTTGACTCCACTTTAACTGTCATGGCTCCAGCCTGTGGAATCCTGGAATTTCTAGTCTGGTGGGGTATTCAGCCTGGTTTGTCAGAGAGCTTGGGTGCTTCACCAAACTACAAATCCCAGGATGGAGTCATGGCAGGTGACATGGTGTCAAACTGCTCTATTTCTGCAGTGTGGCTGTACCTGTAGTAACAAATCCAGGTTTGCCAACGAATGCACATTTAGATGTGTGCACTTGTATGTTATATCTTTGTTAATGATTTGGATAAAATATATTATTTTATCACTGGTTTATTGGTGCCCTTTTTGCTGTATTTCACAATTTTAACACCGTAATATTGGCAAAAGCCTTAGTGATTTGCTTAAAATGAAGTCCACTATAAAAATATCAGTAGATACCACAGTCAGCATCATTCATGCCATAATGTTTCTAATTTCTATGCACGGATGGGAAAGCTGGACAGTGAAGAAAGCTAAGAGGAAGAGAATCAACTAATTTGAAATGTGGTGCTGGAGAACAGTTCAACAGATATAATGAGACTGATAAAAAATGAATGGATGTTAAAGCAAATGAGGCTTGAACTCTAGAAGCCAAGATGGCTAAACTGAAGCTGTCTTCTTTGGAGATAAGAGAAAATGTGACTCACTGGCAAAGACAATAATACTCAGCAAAGTGGAAGGGAGTGGGAAAAGAGGAAAACCACATTACAGGTGATTGACTCAATAAAGAAAGCCATGGCCCTGAGTTTGCAAGACCTGAGCAGGGTAGCTGATGCTGCCTTGGAGGTCTCTCATTCATTACTGTTGTTATTGTGTACCTTTAAGTTGCTTCTGGCTTCTGGTGATCCTAAGGCAAACCTATCATGGAATTTTGTCGATAGGATTTGTTCAGAGAGGGTTTGCCTTTGCCTTCCTTTGAGGCTGAGAAAATGTGACTTGCCCAAAGTCACCCAGTGGGTTTCATGGCCGAATTGGGAATCGAACCCTGGTCTCCAGAGTTATAGTCCAGCACTCAAACCACTACACCACACTGGCTCTCATTCATACGGTCACCTTAGTCAAAGTCGGCTTGATGAACAATAACTACTACAAATAAAAATGTCTAAATTATGATGAGGCTGGCACTGATAACAATGTATAAATCAGACATCTTTGAAATCACACTGTTCAGAGGTGCCATGAATTGCTACTACAGCAGTCTGTTCCAGCCCTAAACTATAAATATGCCCTCTTGTAAAGACTAGTGTGAAAATTTTTACAAATACCACCAAACAAGTTCAGGAAAGTGTGGTTTTATATGGATGCTGGATGATTAATGAGAATTCCCATGCTTTCATTAAAACAGGCTTTCAGCTGATTTAGGAAGTGCAATGTAAACATCTGAAGACCACAAATAGACCACAAACCTAAATCTTTTCCATCATCATCAATTTTTCCAAAAGAACACTTGACATTGAGAGCTTTATGTTAGCCATTTATAGTGTCAGATGTGCACTGCATTATTCTTTTCACCAACTGCCTTCTCATAATTAAGTGTCAACTTCTAAATCCTCAAATTCGCCAGCAAGCATGGACAGTCCCATCTTAACCCTCATTCATCTAGTTTTTGGATATCTTACTGCTTATCTTACATAAAAGCAGACCCTCTCAACTGTCACTTAAGCATCCCACTTAAAAAATAAATATACTTCCTTTGAACACATATCAATTTTCAGAGAGTGAAATAAGTCTTTTAAGCATGTAAAGAAGATCACAAGAAACTTAGCAGAAGGGCATACATTATTTAGTCATATTATTTCTGACTTTATGCTGGAATCATCTTGAGTATTCAGAGATGTAAAATTTCCAGAAATTTTGAAGCTGGTGAGGGGGAGAACAGTTTTTCCCCAGGTTGGGAGGGGGGGGGAATGGAATTTTTTTGAAAAATTAAAAAAAATACATTTGTACCCTTTACTGAAAGTCACTTTGTTACTTAAGGAACATGTATTATTTTGGTTTGGCATAAAATTACCATATCTGATGTACTAAAAATATGGTTTATTCATTTACTCTTTTTTGTTTGCTACAAATGGAGTTACAAGTTCCTGAATTGTATAGAATTCCTAAACTTTAGGGAGCTTCTTTAGTTTTGCTAATTTGTGAGTAGGCAAAATTCCAATAAAGACAGAGGAAACAATAAACACTAGTAAAACAAAGAAAATTCTTTTGCCACCTCTAGTCTTCTGTATAGCCAGGCAAGCATGCAGCACACGTCTCCATAAAAAGAACTGAAACATCTGAGAAAAGGAAAACAAAGAATTCCAAAGATGTGACCTGCTGCATAGTGTTCAGAAATGTGGGCAAGTTAAGATAGGAAAACTTTTCTTACATATTTTATTAATCATTTCAAAACAAAATATCCTATAATCCATTTTTTTTTATTTTTAAAAGAAGCATTAGGGAAAAAAAATGAGGGAAACATTTTTTTTGTTTTTCTCCTACATCTTCACCGTTCTATGGATAGATTACAGAAAACATATAGCTATATAGCAGAGAGCCTGCTAGTTTGGCCAAAATGATGAGGTCCTTTATTTATTTCTTTTCCTATTTGCTACTCATACTTTAATTCCTTGGGTATGACAACCTGGTAATTTCCAGATGTTTTGGACATGAATCCATACATCCCAGCAAGCATGGCCCATGATCAGACATTATGGGGACTGTATTCCATAATATATGGAGATTATAAGGAGAATAAAGTTATTGTCCCTATGCTAAAGTGGACTGTATCCACCTCAAAGTGCAGTTAGAGGATGCCACGTATATATACATTTTGCAGAAGCAAGAAAGAGCACATCAAGGAGAAATGTATTAATCTCAGTCTACTCCCTGTTGTTCTTGTTTTCTCCATGCAGAATGTCTGCTCACTTTACACAGAGGGACATTCAAATAATAAGTCCTGCACTTGCAACCTCAGATGACAGGCTACTCTATGTATGTAAACAGATCTTGTAGCACCTTTGAGACTAACTGAAAGAAAGAAGTTGGCAGCATGCACTTTCATAGACTTCAGCCTACTTTGCCGGATGCATTTGGTGGAGCTGAAAGCCAGGGACAGACCTATATAAGACATTTGTGTGTGAGAACGTCAATTCAAATTCAAAATCCTGTGTGTACGGAAATGAAGTGGCAAGTCCAGTTTTAACTATGGTCGTTGACGGATATTCTACTATTCTACTATTTCAGTACTCTTAGTGCCACATTTTGCTGCATGAGTAGACAGGACAACTACATTCTCCTGTTACATGATTAATATTTGATAATGCCAACAAAAGGCCGTTCTCCAGCCCTGCCTATAGCAGGGCTGGAATGATTCATCTTTCTGTAAATAGGTCATGGCTTTCAATTATTAGAACGCCTCCCTACTCATACTAACTTAAAGCATTTGTACAAAATTCATGGTCTCACAATTTACTCCTTCCCATCCCACTCCTTTCATTTCATTTTCAGGGGAAACGCAGAAGGTAGATCAGGACTCCCGACAGAACACTAGATGATTTGCAATAGATCTGAAAGGACTATTCCCCTGTTGTACCATAGATCTCTCTGTGCCAGAGAAAGTACGGTACAGTATGAGAATACCACAGAGAAGCAAGAAGCCCGAGGCAAAAAACAGTGACCTGGTTTCCCCCAAAACCTGATGTGACAGACTCAATCTCTGAACAAACTTCCTCAGTTATGTAGCAGGACGACATGCCGGGGAAAAAACCCTAACAGTCCTAAATTACTGTTAAGATTAGAGAAGATTTCTTTCCTAAGAAGATTTTTTAATTTTATAAAGGCTATAGAAGGCTTTTGAAGTCTCTGGTTAATTTCTTTTTAAGAGGCAGATGTCCAATCCTAAAAGGCATTTATCACTAAGAGCAACAGAACTAAAAAAGTCTTATGGCATCTTAAGGACAACAGATTTATTATATAATCAGCATTTATGGACAAGTGTATAGCATTCCCCAACTTGGTGTCTTTGAGGTGTTTTGCATGTCAATTCCCATTAACCCCAGCCAATAATAATAATAAAAAATGTGGGAACTGGAATCCAAAACATCTGGCAGGAACCAGGTTGGGGAAAGGAAGACCAGACTAGAACCATGTTATTGTTGGTCGTTCCTAGATGTTGAATCAACCCCGAATCATGGAGATGCTATGGATGGGACAACTCCAAGAGCCCCTGTCCTCCATTGCTCTGCTTAGGTCCTGAAATAGTGTGCATGAAATAATTGTATGTGTGTGCATGAAAATTCATGCCCGTGAGTTCCTCAATAGAGTCCATCCATCTAGCATATGGTCTTCCTTCTCTTTCTACATCCTTCCACCTTGTCTTTTCCAATGTTGACCAATTTATACACATAGGGATGGGGGGGTCAGTAATCAACTGAGCCAAAAGAGATAAAAAGTATTACAGGATTTCCTTGTATTTCATAGTCTTCAGACCCTCACTTATATAGTTGTATGTGTGTGCATGAACCTGGATGCACACAAACAGGGATACACACAGACCAACTGAAGATAACAATGACAATACAGATAGATATATTTTATGTAGCCCATGAAAGAGTATGCATCAATGTATTTACAGTGGGCCTTCCACATTCACTGGGGTTAGGGGTGCAAGACCCTCGTGAAAGTGGAAAAGCTGTAAATTTTTTAAAAATTGGGTTTTTTTACTTGAGAGAAGACCTCTAAGAATCTCTACGTCAGTGGTGGCGAACCTATGGCACGCGTGCCAAAGAGGGCATTCAGAGCCC